ATTGTCTTGGAATTAATAGATAAAAATTAAAAGATCGTGATAGAAAAAAGTTTACCTGATATCGGTCGTAGCTGTCTACGATGCTGTTCAATCGTTGGCATACATTTGTCATTGAACATATAAGTGTGAACTCCGATTGAAAGTCCATAATTCGGTAGACAAGCTCTACCGGTAATGTAAGAAAGTTGGCGAGAGTTTGGTTTGCCATTGTAAACTGTTGATGAAATGTATGCTGCGTGGCCTTACGTGTTGGTTATATATATATATATATTGTTCTTTATCTTATCATTAGATTATTGGATATTTGTTTTGTTTCATAGATTTCACATGATGTTGTAATTACTTGTTGGAAGAAAAAAACGAAAAAGACAGAATCGAGATAACAACTGTGAGCAACGCTTGTATCAGCACTGATTTAAAAATATAAAATTGTATATAATAGACATGAATATTGTATTCTCGGTTATTATCAGAAAAGGTTAAATGACTTCCGTTGTTATATATTTTTATTTAAAATCTATATTGCCTTATGATCGTATAGGCAAATATAGATATTTTATAAGATGGAACAGAATTTGTTCTCATGAAACAGAGTCAGATGGCAGGTGCCGGTGTGACTGCGAATGTTCATAAGGAACAGATAGTTACCCACAACCACAGCTACCCTCAAGATGGTTCGAATACTATCACATTGATTGATCATACTGTTTTTCCTCAAACTTATAGCTTGTTAATTTCGTAGTTATGTATTCCTAATCATACTTTTAATAAATTTGAAATGTTATTCGATCTATTTTTTATTGAAAATTCTTATCAGTTGAATTTAATAAACTGTCTAATAGAAAAAGGCAATCTATAAGTTATGTTCATCCAGTTTTTTTGATGAATTCACAAAAGCAAAAAAACTACACAGCAATAAAAACGTGACACCATAATTCTATATTCTAAATTTTAATTAAAGTAAATGCAGTTGCGCCTTTTCTCTCCTACGGAAACAATATAGAATTGATTGAAATTGATTTTTCGAAAAAGAAACGAGACAATAATCAATGAATAAATTGAAATCAATTTTTTTCCAGCTTTAATTGTGAAACAAAAAAAAATCCAACAGATAAGTTGATCGAAAAAAAAGAAAACGAAATCCACATAGATTTGCATGCAAACAGAACAACAAAGAAAAACACATAAACCTAGTTTTTATTTTTCTTATTTAAGAAATACACAGATACAAGTAGTACATTATCTCTTGGATTTTAACACAAGAAAAAAACCAAGTATTTTTTATTTCTTTTTATTTCAATATCGTTGATAACCACCTCGACGATTTTTTTGTCCGCCTGCTTGTGCACCACTTGGTGGTCTATAGAGTGGTTTTTCTGGTCGAGCACGTTTATTTGCTGGATTAGACGCAGCAGTATTAGTTGCATTATTAGTTCCAACTCCATTCTTATTTGTTGCCGTACTTCCATCTGTTTCTGAAAGTGATCGTTTTAATTCTTCCTAAAAAAAGAAAAAAGACAATATTCGATAATTTAAAATATAAAAACTTACTGTTGGTTTCCATGAAAGAATAACATTGGATTTAAATGATGGAGGTGAACGACATAAATCACGTATCATTACTTGAACATTTGAACAAATTTTATAAGCAATTAATCGTGTTTTTTTCTAGAATTAATAAAATATTTATATAGAAAATTTTCTTTCTTTGTAAACAAACTTGTTCGTCTTGTTCATCAGCAGCACCTTCAGTTTTACCATTTAGAAAATTTTTCAATTGAGTTGTATATGATGATGCACCACGATAAAGATAACGTAATCTAAGGAAAATAAAGATTTTTAATATAGTTTTTTTTGTTTTTTTTGAAAACACCAACCTTAAACGAAAATCTTTTACACGTTCTTCATTTTCTTCAGCAATAAGAAAATCAGGATATTTTCTTGAAAGTTGATGTAATGTATACATTAAACATTCAATAAATGAAAATTGAAAATCCGGAGTTACATCATTTGTACCTGGTTCTGTTTCAAGTGGTGGTTCTGGTAAAAATGTCTAGATTAAATTAAATTTTTATATATTTGATTAATTTCAACAAAAGTTTCGTTTACCATAAGAACATTGAATAATTTTCCTAAACGTTCTTTTGGTCGATCGAATTCTGTTGAATATGGACACATTTCCGCAAGTACACGAAATAAATCAAGTTTATCATCAGATGATAATGGTAGTTTATCAATATGTTCAATAACATAATCGAGCATAAATACAACAAATTTTGTTGAATGAACATTTTTCTAAATTTAACAAAGATAAAATTTTACAGGAGAAATATTTAAAGAAAACTACCGAAAGTAAACTCATTGCATGACCCATATATGTTGCTACAAGACTAAGTCGATCTGTATCAACACCCTAAATAATAATGAAAATAAAAATACTGAATGTTATTATTGTTTTTTATTCTTACATTCCATCCTTCGTCTAAATTACATTGATTTATAATCATATTAACAATATCTTGTCGAGCGACTAATGTTTGCATTGAACGAAGTGTTGAAAGTAATTTAACAATTGTAACAAATTCTTCTGCATCAAGAAAAGATGAAATCTATATAATTTCAGAAAAATGAAGATAAATAATTGAAGAAAATATTTTTATTCTTACATCTTTACATGCTTTAATTAAATGCTCTTCTAAATCTTTTGGTAAATCTGTTTCATCTAATGTTGCAATACGACTACATATAAATCCTTGAAAAAAAACATATATTTATTAACTTTGAATGAAAAAAACATACGAAGTGCACGTTTGCGAAGTAAATCTTCTTGTGAACGTTGAATTTCATTCAAAATTCCAGTAATTGTTTCTAATTTAAATAAACATATTTTTTCTGTTTATTACTTCATCAAAATTATTTACCTTTTGGATTAATATGATAAATAGTCATAATGGAATTTTGTACTTGTGTTACTTCACTTGTATCATTTGCTTGAAGTAATTGTATAAGTACACCAATAACACGTTGAAGCGTATCAGTTGCTGCTCGTACTAATGTTGGAAATTCTTTAATTGCTTGTTTACGAATCTAAATAAATCGATAAAAAAAAAGATGAAGAATTATATATTTAATTTATACTGTTATGTCTTCATCTTCACATAAATCAATAACAGCTTCTATAGTTTTTGTCATTTCAGGTGGAAAATTTTTACAAAATTTTCCAATAAATTGTAAAGCTAATTTTTTTTCTTGTGGACCTTGTTTCATTGCTTCAATTAAATTTTTATATGCATCAAGAGCTTCCGTTGAATTATTTGTACCATTTTTATCATTAAGTACATTATATAAATCATATATACGATCAACCATTTTTAATAATTTCTTTTAAATTCAACTAACAATTGAATTACAAAATAACTTCTTTTTTATTTTATTTTTCTTATGTTATAGAAACAAAACAATATTATTATTCATTTGTGTTGAAGGAGGCCAACCAATGATGTGATGATCAAAATAACATGATGTCGTTGGAAGTCATTCGACATGTTTTTTAATGAACATTAATTTCAAATAAAAATTGAGTATCAATTCTGGAATACGATCAGTTTATTTTAATTATGTCGAAATAAAAATTTAAATGGTATAAGTTATACAATCAATGTGAATAAGAGTACAAGTTGATGTTGAAGAGTTATATTTTTAAAAGTCTTCCTACTAAATGACAACATCTTAAGACTTTCCATATTATATATTCTGTTCTTGTTTCAAGAAAAAGTTCTGATATGATTGACCATATCATATCACAACGATCAGCGGCAGATTTAGGGGGGGGGAGACGATGAGGGTGATCGCCCCACCCCCTTTCGAATTTTTTTTCGATTTTTTACAGCAAAAATGAACGAAAAAATAGGTTCACACTACTTCGATTGGACTCAACAAATAACTTTTAGCCAAAATCCTAGATCCGCTACTGACAACGATATATATATTTTAAAACTACAAAATCAATCAAAAATCTACATAATGACACATTTAGTTTATTTCATATTTGAATATTTTTTTACAAGAAAATATTTATTTTTTGTGATGTTATGTGTAGAATATATTTTATTAAAGTAGATCAAATTCAACTTTAAAGATCAATTTTCAATTCATTTAGAATCAAATTTTTCTTTATCAATAATCAGTTAGAGAATATATTGCTATGAAAAAAGATCTTCCCATGATTCGTGATAGTATCCGATGTCAATGAATTTTCAATAGGATAAATTATTGACTTAACGCGTATATGTATAAAATAACAGATTAACAAAACATACTTTCGTATTAACAACTATCAGAATATTTTAATACAATAAACATATGTAGTGGATAATATTTCGTATGAGAAATTCATGAATTAAAGTAACTCTTAAAATTATGTATTCATACACTCGTGATATATAATTTTCTTTTTTGCTCTGTCTCATGTTTATTTGATTATGAATAAAGATGGTTGAATGCTTTATATGTTATAAAATATAAAAAAGAAGAGGTTGGATATTTGAATGTTATTGTATTAATAATTTTATAGGCCTACGCATAATTAAACTTCACCTTTGTGAACTATCACCAATAACCTGTCCTATTATAATTTCTATGCACTTTCAGGTAAATAACAGCATAGAATTAACACATTTCTTAGTGTTCTTTTATGAAAATAAAAAAGACTAAGACGAGGGCGTATTTAAGTTAATAGAACGAGAGAAGAACTTGTTGGTGATAAAGAAGTTATATTTTAACTGAGATTTTAAAGATTAGTTTAAAGAAAAAAGTAAAGAAAATGAAAGCATATAAAGATTTACAGGTAAAAACAAATGAGGGAGAGAGTGAGTAGGGCTATACAATCATATTTTTGATTATATTCGATTTTTCCTCAGATGTAAGAAAAAGGAAAGAAAGAAAGAAAGAAGGAGAAAGAGAGATGAATATAATAATGCTAGTATAAGAATAATCAATCAATGACAGGTAATTCCATTTTTGTTTTGAATAAAAGAATATTTCTTTCGATATTTTTAGTATATATACATATACTGATAAACCTCAGGTAAAGTGATGGAATATTGTATAGATTTTTAAACGATATAAAAAAAGATTAAAAATGATTGATCTGAGGATAGATTTGTAGAAATTGTTTTTGTTAAACGAAAATAACAAGACATGACATTGTAGAGTATGTTTTGATTATAAAAAAATACATAGAAATGTACTTGATCAATAAATTGATCTACTCAAGAAGAAATTCGATATAAATTTATTATTAATGATAAAATGTGTTAATAATAATTATATTAAGTATAGATGAGAATTATAGTTAAAATTATATGTTAGTAAAAAAGGAGAGGAAAGATGATAATACAGAATCCCTTAAATTCTCTCTCTCTCTCACTCTTCCTTTTTCTCATTATGTTCCTCTCACAATTTACTTTTTTTTCTTCTCTTCTTTATTAAAACATACAAAAGTATCGAAAAAAGTTATTAGTAAGTATATAAACGTGTAGGAATATATTCGAGTAGTCGTAATGCACTAAAAAGCTTTAATATAAAACGGTATTAGTATGGCTTATATATTTTCGTAAGTTTGTTTATTCGAAAGTAATAATGAATTTATGTCAACATTCTCGATCAAACTTTCAAGAGTTTGAAAAGGTGTAAACATGACAACATTACATTTCATATAAATTTCATCATATAATAATATATCATAATCTGAACGAAATTAACTTCTATAAATATTTTTATAATTATAGAAAAAAGAAAACAATATAAACATGCTTTGGTATAAGTCAACTCTTCTTCATTGGTCATTCTTAATTACTTT